CTTCCTCCCCCCATCCCTTGTTTTTTTTAAAAACGCCGGAAGGGTTTCTTTAAGCAGGAGGGAGGAGGAAGAAAAAGGAAGAAGAAGAAAAAGGTAAAGATACAAATTATGACAACAATCTCATCTATCAACAAGTGAATCTAAAAATCAAGTGAATAAATACTCTGATGAACAGAATAAACTGGGTGATTATAATAGAATCAGGGGCATAGAAAGGGACTGACTATTCTTGGGGGGGAAAGGGGTGTGGGGGATGCGGGAAGAGACTGGACAAAAATCGTGCACCTAAGGATGAGGACAGTGGGGAGGGGGGTGAGGGCAGAGGGGGGGGTGGGAACCGGGTGGAGGGGAGCTATGGGGGGGAAAAAGAGGAACAACTGTAATAATCTGAACAATAAAGATATAATTTTTTAAAAAAAAAGAATTCTTTCACACTTTATGAAAATTGGAACCCAGAAAGTACAAAATTACTTTAAGTGAAAATAATGTTTGCAAAAAATAAAAGGTTCTGTTTTTAACCCACCAAGTATTAATTGTAGTAAAATTACTTACTGTGCTCACGTTGACCTTTATAACTGGAATAAGCGATCTCCATGAAGATGTGGGGTCCTGAGATTCTGTTTTTATTTTAACTCTAAGAAGAAAAAATAAAAACTGAAGTATATAGGAAAGACTTAAATACCTGAGGATACAGTTGACCTACTCGAAATATACATTATTAATACCAGCTGTACCTTTCCAAATACATCTAATGACGGCTCCAGTAAATGAAACAGAGACCATCTAACAGAAGACTAATGGCCCTAAAATGTCTCATTTCTGAATGCACTCCATGTGTCAGTTTTTAGATCAAGCTGTAATAACAAAACTATGTTCTTAGAATGACAAGCTTTAATGTCAAAAGTGTCAATTATGAGATGCTGTCATTACATCTACCATCTGCTCACCACACTACAACGTGACATTTTAGAAGACAGCCAAAACTATTATTAAAACAAATGGATCATAATATCAGTGCTCGGCCAGTGTTCTCAGTAGTCAAGTGCTGACCCATGAACCAGGAGCTCATGGTTCAGTTCCTGGTCAGGGCACATGCCTGGGTTGTGGGCTTAACCTCCAGTGGGGGCCATGCAGGAGGCAGCTGATCGATGTTTCTCTCTCATCAATGTTTCTATATCTCTGTCCCTCTCCCTTCCTCTAAAATCAATAAAATAAAATATGTTTTTAGAGAGAGAAAATGACATGACACAAGTCACTTTGATGTTTCCTACTGTTTTGAGCATTTCTGACAACTGAGCTGATCCTTTTCCTTCCCTATTCTCACCACTTTGTGAAATGACAGGCAAAGAATGAGAAAAATATTGGCCACACACAAAGTACACAAAATTTAAAGAATGAAAAGTTCACAGCAATTCACTAAAGATTTTGGAAAACTTGAGGCATATCTCTTCAATAACCCATTATCTCCTAAATGGCACTTCTGAGACCAACTCCAGGAAGGTGACCCTCAGTGCTTAAAACTAAATTCAAAACAGACCTCATCACCAGCCCCCAACCTCCTCTTTCCCTGGGGTTCCCTGCCTAAGCATAATCGCTGCTTACATTAGAAATTTGGATTCAATATTGATCATCCCTCTTCCTCATTCTCCACCTCTAATCTACCACTGTCTTATGGATTCATCTGCCTAAGTCTGTCTTGCTCCATCCACTTCTCCCCCTTTCCCTTGCTACCAACCCAGCTAATGAAATGTTACAACATCCTTCCATCTGGTCTCCCCGCCTCCAGCCTTACCTCCCTCCAATCATATCACAGCATTACTGACTTGGGGGAAAGCCCCTGATCCTGCTAAACCATTTTAATCTAAATTATCCCCACCTCAAATAATCCATTGCAGCATCAGTAAGTAACTTCACTATTGCATATGATGTTTCTTCTCTATGGAAGACTCTTCATCACCACCTTTCCCTAACTGACTCACCCTTCAGGTCGCAGCCCTCCTGATCCTTCTATGTGAAATCTACTTTTGTCCCTGAGGTAATACTTCTTGCACGAAAAGTGCCTATTTTACCCATACTTGGCTATAAATTCCAACAAGACAGAAGACTTGTCATATTCCCAGTACCTCAGCTCTGTGCCTGGGACATAATATCCATTAAATATTTAATTCAGAATAAATGTCCTCATCATTGACTTAAAAAACAAACAAACTATTAGGTATGCAAGGCTGTTCGACATTCAAAAATCAATTAGCATTAACAGGTTAAAAACAAAAAATCAAATGATAGTATCACCAGATGCAGAAAAAGCATTTGACAAAATACAACAGCCATTATGATTAAAATCTCTCGGTAAATTAGGAATAGAGGGAAACTTCCTCATCTGTATATAGAGTATCTACAAAAGACCTAATTAACATCATACTTAAAGGTGATTATCTAGAACAGCCGTGGGCAAACTACGGCCCACGGGCCAGATCCAGCCCGTTTGAAATGAATAAAACTAAAAAAAAAAAAAGGCCGTACCCTTTTATGTAATGATGTTTACTTTGAATTTATATTAGTTCACACAAACACTCCATCCATGCTTTTGTTCCGGCCCTCCGGTCCAGTTTAAGAGCCCATTGTGGCCCTTGAGTCAAAAAGTTTGCCCACCCCTGATCTAGAAGCTCTCCCATTAAGACTAGGGACAAAGCAAGGATGTCCTATTTCACCATTCCTTTTCAAGTTTGGAAATTATGGCTATTGCAGTAAAACAAGAAATAAAAGGTATGCAGAATGGGAAGGGGAAAATAAGACTTTCTTTGTTTGAAGATAACATAACTGTATATGTAGAAAGTTTGGAAGAACTGATCAAAAAGCCTATTTGAACTAGTAAGTGAATACAGCAAGTTTGCAGGATACAAGGTTAATAACTTACAAAAATCAATCACTTTCCTATATACCAGAAATGAAAAAGTGAATGTTTACATGTTGCAGATTAATAAAATTCAAGTGTGACAATGAACCTTTCAATGTTGGACTGGGTTCCTGTTCTTCCATTTTCCCGTGTTTTATCATCCTCTTTCTTGGGGGGGATTATTGTTGGCTCCAAACCAAATAATTCTTGAAGACGTCCATAAAGATCCGAACGATTATAGACATGAAACTCAAAGTCATTAACTGTGATGTATAATCTCGTTTCCGCCTTTGGATCTAAAGACATCAATTACACACATACACACAAAAGTTTTTAGTCAACTTTTTAAAAACTTTAGTCAAAGTTTTTGTCAATTCATTTTCCACACTTAAAGTAATTTAAATGATTTACTTTAAACCAGAATTCTATGATAAAGAGGATCATATTTAAAATACATATAAAACACTGGTAAAAGAAAGAAAAAAGCTAATGTTACTACAGCATTTTAATTTAGCATTCGAAAAACAACCTAAATTTCTAGATTTTGGTTATCTAATGCCTTAATTTAAAGATTTTACATTGAGAATAGAAAAGTGTCATTTACAGAATAAAAGTAAAACTTTACCCTAATATAGCCATACATTTATACTAAAATATAAGTAGCAAAATGTTCAAAGTATAATGTACTTAAACATCACATCAGTATTTAAACTTGTGCTTCATGGAAAGTAGGATTTTTCATAAAATACTAGTTGGTTTTTAAAAACTACTTAATACTAAAATAAAGATTTTATGAACCGTACACTTCAAACCATTTCAAATAAAAGACATAATTACATTAAATATAAGTAACAACAGAAATTTACAAATCCACCTATAAAGTGATAGATGGGCACTTGTTTCTGCTGAGGAAATAATCCAACACAGAGCATCACATGTTAACCAAGAGGCTCAACAGAAAGGTACCACAGTCAGTGCCTTATTTTGTTATGAATCATACAGGTGTTTTTTGAGACTTTTTAAATGTTTGTCCATTTTTGTCCCTACAGAACAAATTCAATTTAAGGCAATTAAAATTAGATATGACCAGTTAGAAGAGTTTAATTTTTTTATTGGTAAAGAAAGTTGTTATTAACTTTCATTTTAGCCGAAACCGGTTTGGCTCAGTGGATAGAGCGTCGGCCTGCGGACTGAAGGGTCCCAGGTTCGATTCCGGTCAAGGCATGTACCTGGCTTGCGGGCACATCCCCAGTGGGAGATGTGCAGGAGGCAGCTGATCGATGTTTCTAACTCTCTATCTCTCTCCCTTCCTCTCTGTAAAAATTCAATAAAATATATTTTTTTAAAAAAACTTTCATTTTAGTAGCTTAAGCTGTAGTTTAAATATGATATATATATATATATCCCCCCAAAATGCCAGGGTCAAATGTCCAGCAGCCTACTCAGACATCTCCAATGTGGTGTCTAACAGACATCTCACACTTGATACATCAACCAAATACCTGATTTCCCCCCAAAGCTATTCTACAATATCCCCCATCCTATCAACAGCAAGTCAATCCTTTCAATTGCTCTCTTTCTTTCATGCCTTAGATTTATCAGCTTTTCTTTCAACATAGATCCGCAACCACTGTCATGGCTCTGGCCCAAGTCACCGTCAACGTGAACGTCTTTATGGAACACAGCACAGTGGCTCCCATCGAATCTCCCTGTTCTGCCCTTACTCCTCTTACTATGCCTGTGCTTTACACACTGGCCAGACTTTCCAAAGCCTAGCTATTTGAAAGAGTAAAGACAAGATCTACCCTCCTTGAAGCCTCTGGTCTGGTTAGTGTCTAGTAGGAGGGTTAGGGCCACATACCAGAACACTAACAGAGCCATGAAATAACTGGGAAGAAAATTCTGAGATGGTAACATTCTGATGATAAAAGCAGAACCAGAAGAAATTCTAGAGTCTGTTTCCCATTTTCTGTTCATCCTTTTCATACCAGATAAATGATAATTAGTAGACATGTCAGGTAGACGTATGAATAAAGACACCGAAGTTGAAATGTAGAAAAGTGTCTTGGTAGACTGATTAAAGGGTGCTGAGAAGACCATTTATCACCAGTATGGGTCAGGCCAACAGATGTAACATGCAGTAAGGCTAGAAATGTGGGTAAGGGTCCTACTGAGGATGACTCTGAATAAATCATCAGCTAAAGTAAACCAATTTAACCAGGCAAGAGGAAGACTACTAAAAGGATTTTTAGTAAACTGGTGATAAAATCAGAGTTTTGTCAAGTCCAAAGCTTTTAAAAAACATTTTTATCCTATATAATAAAGAGCTAATATGCAAATGGTTGTCATACCATCACACCATAATGGCTCAAATACTCAACACTGAGAAGAGAGGAATGGGGACCAGCCAGGCACAAATGAGCTCGCAAGAGAGGAACGGGGACCAGCCAGGCTGCAGCCCGGGAGAGGGACAAACCGCCCGCCCCAGGCGCGGTCCCAGGCACCTGAGGCTGCGGCCCAGGTTAAGCCACCCGTCCACAGTCCCCTGCGGCTGCAGCCAGCCTGGGCGAAGCCAGCCCGAGTCCTGGGTGCCTGCGGCCAGCCAGAGGGAGGGAATCCCGGATCCCAGGTGCCTGTGACTGGCCAGAGGAGGAAATCCTGGGTCCGGGGTGCAGGGTGAGGCAGAGGTGGTTAGGGGCGATCAGACCAGCAGGGGAGCAGTCAGGGGTGATCAGGCAGGCAGACAGATGGTTAGGGGCAATCAGGCAGGCAGGGAGAGGGGTTAGGGGCGATCAGGCAGGCAGGCAGGTAAGCGTTTAAGAGCCAGTGTTCCCGGATTGCAAGGAGGCAGTCAGACATCCCCCGAGGGTCCCAGATTGGAGGGTGCAGGCCCAGTCTGAGGCACACCCCCCCCCCCCCCCGCATGAATTTCGTGCACCGGGCCTCTAGTCTATTATAATAACCACAAATGAAAAAATAATTATGTCATCAACAATTTCAAACAAATAAAAAAAATGAAAACTCACCATGCTGCTTCTGCTTTGGGTTATACATTTTCCACCACCGAAAAATTATAAATCCATCTTGAATTCTAAGCAAGATAAATTACAAAAGTGAAAACAAGTAAGAATTTACTTAACTTGATTCTTAGTTAATTATTATATAAGGCAGCCAATTGATAATGAATAAGGAAACAAAAATTCTCAATGGAACACTGGCATACCTAAATGTTTCATACTCTTTCAGTTAATAAAGTAAAAGAGGATATGCACAGGTTTAAATTAGATTCTTCTATTCAGGTAAAATGTAATACTGGATTACATTCAATAGGAAAATGAAGTGCTAACAGAAAACCTTTTTATTTTATAAATATTTTTAATGTTGTAAAAACTACATAAACAAAAGGCCAACTCTCGAAAGGGGGACATTAGCACACTAGAGAAAACTTTTAAAGATAATCTTTCATTTCTGTAATGATATATCACTTCATGCTCCAATTTTAACTTTTACTTTTAATTTGGAATAATTTTAGACTCACAAAGAAGATGCCTCTACTGTTTCAAGAGAAGTATAAGTAGTGCCAAACCCTGGCATCTCTCAAATAATTCAAAATTTTCCAAATTCTAAGTAACAAATTTTAAGAAGATCACAAAAATAAGAGTAAGCTGCCCAACCAGTGTGGTTCAGTGGTTGAGCACCAATCTATGAACTAGGAGGTCACAGCTCGATTCCCAGTCAGGGCACATGCCTGGGCTGCAGCCTTGATCCCCAGTAGGGGGCATGCAAGAAGCAGCCAATTAATGTTTCTCTCTTATCATTGATGTTTCTATCTCTCTCTCTCTTCCTCTCTGAAATCAATAAAAATATTTTTTTAAAATAATAATAACAACAGAGCAAGCTTTTCTTACAAGGCTTACAGAAGAGAGAACATATCAAACATATTATTAATTCTTAATACATTAAGATTTGTGTTTTCTTCTTAAAGTAAAATTAGAGTTGTTAACAGATGCTAAACAATTCTAAACACTTACTACCTAATAAGAACCCAATGGGTGAGCATTATCAACATATCTGATCCGTATTTTATATAACAAATGACCACCATGAATTCTACAACAGAAATGATCAGGTAATTTAATGCCTCAATTTTTCATCTTGCAATGAAATGAGATTATTGATTTCTATATACTGCTATTAGGTAAACATTTTGCCAGTCTAAACTTTAGCTAAATTAATCCATGGTTAGAAATATTTTAAAACATTAATTCATTAAGTCTGATTTACTAAAAAAATTATTTCTGATTTATGGTTTGTTTTTTTGTTGTTGTTTTATATATATATAATTTTTTTAAATTGATCTCAGAGAGGAAGGGAGAGGGAGAGAGAGACAAAAACGTCAATGACGAGAACGACGGACCGGCTGCCTCCTGCACAACCCCCACTGGGGATCGAGCCGAAACCCAGGCATGTGCCTTGACTGGAATCGAACCTGTGACCCCTCAGTCCACAAGCTGATGCTCTAGCCCTGAGCCAAACCAGCCAGGGCTGATTTATGGTTTTATTTGAAGAACCAAGTAATATTAAAACAAGTATCATAATTAGAAAATTTTTTCCAGTTTAAGGTAGGTTCTTTTATTTGTTTTAGGTTTCGTTTTTGCTTTTTACCTAATAGACATGTCTTCTGTAATGTAATAGATTTCACGAACCATGATTTTTCCAGAAAGAACAGAGAAAGAGAAGGAGCCTGTTATAGGGGAAAAAAAACAGCAATTAATTTAATTGTTTTGATAGATAGTAGAGCTCTTAACACTTAAAATAATCTTAGCAATCAATTCATTCAGTAATTAAATGTTCTCTCCTGACTCCCTTCCTGATATCCTTACAGCCTTACTAATTTCTATCATTTTTCCTGAAAAAGTGCCACACATATCATCACTATGGACTGAGTTACTAAAAACCATATAAGAACATTAGTTTTAATAGCTGCTTCATACGACTAATTCTCTTAATTATGCACAGCCATTAAATAAACCCACAACAGTGAGTAATTCACCATTTTTCTCCATTACTCTAGGAACCAGTCACTGCCTCAAATTAATGGAAGATTATTTATGTTTGAGAGAAGTTCATGTACATTAAGAGGTACTCAACTCCAAGGAAGGCTAGAATGGTTCTATTCAGTGCCCCCTCCTCCTTTCTCACGGGTTTGGAACTTTCCAGAGTATATAGCTTCCTAGTACACTCTCCCATCTATCTGCAAACCTCCCACTTATAAGTAGTTAGAAACTAAACTAATAAAGCAGGCCACAAAATGAAATATGACTCCAACTTACAGGTTTTTAAAGTACGGGTTACTTGAAGAAAAAAAAGAGCAAATAATTCATTGGGCATTAGAAACTTTCCCTAGATCAGCTGTTCTCAACCTGTGGGTCGCGACCCCTTTGGGGGTCACCTAAGACCATCGGAAAACACATATATAATTACATATTGTCTTTGTGATTAATCACTATGCTTTAATTATGTTCAATTTGTAACAATGAAAATGGGGGTCACCACAACATGAGGAACTGTATTAAAAGGTCGCGGCAATAGGAAGGTTGAGAACCACTGCTCTAGATGGAATTGAGAGAAATTTCTGTTTCCATATTTTATATCTGTCTATATTTTTTCAAATTATTTTCATGAGTATCTTTTATAAACAAAGTCAAAGAGTAACTATGGAAACACTTTAACAAATAAGAATGAGGTAAAGAGCATAACCTGTTACAGAGAGCTGTAAGAGAGAAATTCAAAGTAGGTTAGTTTATCCTTCATGAAACAATGGTAAATTTCTAAAGCTACTACCTGTTTATAAAATATAAATGTATAATATATACCTAAGATTACACAGAAGAAAATAATGCAGGTTTACTCCAACTCACCAATATGGATATAGCCATGTTTGTATAATCTGTTGACAACCAAGGTTAAAATAAGACCAACATTCCGAGAATTATAATATGTGAGATAAATAATCCATCCACAGGACAAAATGGTAGCTGTTGGGAGAAAAAAGTACAAAAGGATATCACTTTCAATCACCTTAATATCTTAGTAAAACTTTGTTGATAAAAGATCATTTACCACACTCAGAAATGATAATATGGTAGTAAGTCCTCTTACAATTTAATACCTTGGGTTTTAAAATCAGAGGTTAGAGCTACCTTATCCACCTTTCCTCACTTTCTTTTAGTCATTAGCCAGAAATGCAGAGATTCCAATCAGATCCATTAGAGCAGTGGGTTCTCAACCTTGGCTGCACATTAGATCACCTGGGAATCTTTTTAAATCCTGATTTCTGGG